GGGGGGGCTCTATTTGGACTCTCGATGACGTATTTAGATCGAAGCATGGAAAACAACTAACCACTAAGTCTCTGTATGCGTCTATGCGCCCGTATGACCGCAAGAAGTACTTGTCTCAGTACTTGCACAATCAGCGCAGAAGTGTAGTATGAGTACATAAATCAACGCGTACCCAGTAAGTATCTAGTCTAGCCTCGAAGTAGTGACAAGGGGTCGATTTGACACTTACTAGTGGTCAAAATTGTAAAGTACATAAAGTAGACATGTATGAAACTCAACAAGTAGCAACGATGCAGGTAAATAACATAATAAAACTTCCAGACAAGAATTATTACGAAATCACCAATACCACAACTTGCCTTAAAGGCACAAGGTCAACCAATACCAATACCACATCAAATCTCAAGTACTATGCATGAGTCTGTCGAGGCGAACGACCCGATTCCATAGGAATAGTGTTACACAATACTGTCGAGGCGAACGACCCGATCCTATAAGAGTAGTTCATAGTACTGACGAGGCTAACAACCTGATCCCATAAGATAATTTACAACACTGCCAAGGCGAACGACTCGATCCCATAAGAGTAATTTACAACACTGCCGAGGTGAAAGGTTCGATCCCATAAGAGTAATTTACAACCCTGCCGAAACGAATGACCCGATCCCATAAGAGTAATTTACAACACTGCCGAGGCGAACAACCCGATCCCATAAGAATAATATAAACACTACCGAGGCGAACGACCCGATCCCATAAAAATAGAGAAACTCTCTCACTCGCGAAACGGAACTACCATTCAACAAATATTTCACAATTTCCAACGTAAGAGACTCGGTCAATATTTTTATTCTAGTCTCAATCTTAGTCATAAATTTAAGTAATCAAGCAAACAAGATAAATTTACATAGCACATTTAAAGCATGATGTGTATCTAAGTCTACCGGGACATAAACATGAATGTAGCTACGTATGGATTTTTGTCACCTCGTGCATACGTAGCGCCCAAATCAAGTAGCACACAACAATTAGCACACCTACGGGGATAATCCCCCGCAAAAGAGCTCTCAAATTCGTCCAAACCCAAGTGGAAAGGGAGAGAAATGAGCTATGCCCTGAAATAAAAATGTGATCTGCCCAGCGATTCCTTTTTCGGGATCGCGGAAAGTCCCTTGCGATCGCGAAGACCAAACTATTACAGCTGACCAAAGTTCTCTTCGCGTACGCAATAGTCCGGTCGCGTTCGCTATGAACAACCACCCAGCCTTCCGCGTTTGCAGTCCCCCAGCCGCGTTTGCGAAGGCCAACAACTCAACTCAGCCTCAGCCTTCTTCGTTCGCGAAGATGGCTCCACGTTCGCGAAGAGGAACCAGATCCTCCATCGCGTTCGCGTGGCCCTCCTTGCGTTCGCGAAGAGCAAAATCTCAGACCCCTCCCCAGCCTCCTTCGCAATCGCGGGACTACTTTCGCAATCGCGAAGCACACCAATAAACGAGCAAACCAGCAATATCAGCCAACTTCAATTTTGCTGCGGGTGGTCCAAAATACCTGAGCCACCCGGGACCTTGTCCAGACTCCAAATGTACCAACAAGTCCAAAACATTCTATGGACCTACTCGAAGCCTCAGAACACAGTAAAATAACATCGAAACCAAGAATCGCACCTCAACATCAAATTAATCAACTTTGGAACTTCAAACTTCTTCCAACTAACTCCGAACGCCACGAATTATACTTAGACAACTCGGAATGACGCCAAATTTTACGTACAAGTCACAAATCACAATATGAACCTATTCCAAGGCTCAGAACCCCAAACGGACATCGATAACACCAAAGTCTACTTCAAACCAAAGTTTAAAAACTCTAAAACCTTCAAGACACTAACTTTCAATAATAAGCACCGAAATGCTCCCGGTCCACCCGAAATTCGATCCGAACATATGCCCAAGTTCAAAATCATCATATAAACCTATTGGAACCTTCAAATCCCGATTTTGAGGTCGTTTACTCAAAGTGTTGACCCAAGTCAAGTTGGCCACCTTAGGCCACTCCTATGGAACTAGGTGTTCCGAATTCAACCTGAACCTCAGAAGCACATACAAAAAGTCTCAAATAGGGGAACAAAGATCTAGAAAGCAAAATGACCAGTGGGTCGTTACACATATGATACCGTTTTACTTTTTTTTCTTAATAGAATCTAAAATCTAAAAATTGTATATAGCCCCTAATTCCCAATCAAATAGCCTCCAATTTCCAACCCTTCGCTGTCTCTCTCTCTTGGCAGAATCCTTCAGTTCAACTTCAAAGTTACATTGCGTCCAGAGTCGTTTCCGCTGCCATTAGCCACTGGCCACTGCCGCTTTTCGTTGGTTGTTGCCTCTCTCACCGAGCCACTGGCCACTGCCGCTTTTCGTTGGTTGTTGCCTCTCTCACCGGCAACCGCATCGTCATGTTTCACTTTGATTTTAATCCTTGTATTGTACAAAAGAAAATCAGTACTTAATTCAACGATATTTATTTGGGTATTTTACGGCATATTTTGTTTCAAGTTTGGGAATTGGGATCCATCATTAGTTTCGGATCAAAATTTTATTATTAACCTAGAATTGTCTTCTTGAAAATTACGTGACTTCAAGTAAAGCAATTTGCTTTGCTTTTACCACTTGCCACTACTACGGTTGAGAGAATTTTTTCGGCGATGAAGTTGATCCGGAGTGAATTACGAAATCAAATGAATGACGAGTTCATCAACGATTGTTTGGTGCCTTATTTATATGTTTCAGGAAATGAAAACTCGTAGAGGACAATTTTAATGATGTATTTTAATTTTAATTTTTATTATTAATAAATATTTATTTTGTTGACTTCTTTGTATATTTGCTTCTTTGCATTTTGAACCCGCATAAAAATCCTGGGTCCCCACTGGTGGGTCCCCATTGGTGCTACATGCATGTACCTTAACAAAAGATAATAGCGATTCATGTTTTTTGTTAAATTACATCATATTAATTGATGTTGAGCCAGTAAATGAAAAATTTGCATCACTTGTTATAAGTGATATCTAGTGCACGTATCTGAAAAGTGTTTAATTTATTTTTTTGGGTTTAATTTTCAATATTAATGAGGATACCGGATGCTACATTTGTTTCAGGTATGGAGATTGATCACAAATTTCTTCTTTCTTGGGAAGTTCTCAATTAATTTTGGGATTCGCCTCTTAGTGATGTAAGTGCCCACAACCTATGTTGCTCGGACCCTCCGAAAATATAGCCGGGTGCGTGTCGGATCCTCCAAAAGTAGTGCACTTTTGGAGGATCTCACACGGGTGCCACAACATTTTGGAGAGTCCGCGACACATAGCCCACAACCTCTGACCAGTATTTTTTCTTTTAAAAGTCTTATTTCTCTAATATGAATCATTTTCTACAGCACTATTAAACCTTGCAATTAGTTATGAAATGCAAAAGATTTTTGTTTTACTTTTTCAAGTATTAATTATGATTATAGCTTCTTGATGTTATAGAGCAAGATATGGAGTGCAACTGGAGAGTGGACCTTTTCAAAGACAAACAGCAGATTTTCTGTGGATGATGATATTTGGAGCTTTGACATTGTTGGTATGTCAACTGCTGAACATTTAGGGAGTGAATTACCCAAGACATGAGCTCCTATTGTGTCTTTCTTAGCTGTAACCTCATACCCTTCCCTTGCTATCGTCTTTATTACTCTACAGTTTGTTTTATAATGAAGATGATGTTTCATTCCTCTGATATGCGTCAAACCAATTTTTCAATTGTTTAACATATTGTCTCCTGCTATGCCTAGGCTTTATCGCTAATCCCCTTCTTCCGCTCCCCATTCTTGGGCATATCACTGGTTTTCATGCTTCTATATGTCTGGAGTAGAGAATTCCCAAACGCTAATATCAACATTTATGGTCTTGTGACTCTAAAGGTATGATTCTGTTCTTTCGTTTAGATACTTCAAGCCTCAGTTGTCAGGTTTTCGTGCTCTTTATCTTAATTTTCCTTTGGTGAAATGTTTCTTCCCATTCCAACTTGCAGGCTTTTTACTTGCCGTGGGCCATGCTCGGTTTAGATGTTATTTTCGGTTCACTAATTATGCCAGATCTCTTGGGGATCATTGCTGGACATCTCTATTACTTCTTAACCGTGTTGCATCCACTTGCCACGGGGAAGAAATTGTTGAAGACACCAATATGGGTGTATCCTTTTGATTGCAGTTTTGACCAATGACCATCTAGATGTTCTCTTAACTGCTATCTGAATTCACCCATGTAGGCATCTTTTTTTCAGAGAAGCACCAGAGAGGTCATTGCAGTTGCATGTTCCTTGCACCATCAAATTTTATTTTGCTGCTGTGTTGTCCCTGGCTAATTTGGTTTTTGTTTCCGATTTCCACCTAGCAAAATCGAAACGTAAAGAAAGAAGATGCTCATTTTTCTGCATTTAGGAAACGAAATTATTCTTTTCTGCAAATATCTTTAACTGGTGATACATAGACATAAGCTGGTTATGCGTTTGAAGATTGGAGCACCTACTGCTACTCCTGCACAACCTGATAATGCCGGTGCAGCTTTCAGAGGGAGATCTTATCGGGTTGGCGAAGCAACAGCTTATCCTGCACAGCCTGATAGGGGTTCTGGTGCAGCAACAACTAACACTGTGCAACCTGATAGCAGTTCTGGTGTAGCATTCAGGGGGAGATCATATCGCCTTGGTGGGTGAGTTGCTGCATTTTCCACCTTCAACCGGTAGCTTCAAGTCAATAGTGAATTTTTATTCACGTTAGCTTGACAATGCAGCGCAAGGCAATTTTTTTTTTGTAAAGTACAATGTTGAAAAGGTGTAATGCTGCCATGACATGTTGAAATGCAGATGAATGCATAACCACCCGTAACCCACCCTTCCTGAGGAAAAACTGATTTGTGTAGAATGGTAGAAGTTTTTACGGAAGGATAGCTGGAAACAGATTGTCAATCCATTTGGGGAAAGAAGAGTTGATAGGTGAAAATTTCTGATTTGGATATTTGCTATGGATTTTCCACGGAGAACGCTGCCAATGAATAAAGGTTGCGTAGTTTAGCAGCTGTTAGATTCATGTTTTGCTTTGAGTCACAGATATTGTGACTCGTATCATCCAAAATCGATTGACGGCCAAAGCCACCGTGAAACCACGCAAGTAATGTCATGGGCTGCTTTCCAGACATGCCCCATGACCCCTTGGCCGCGCCCCATGGCGGCCTAGCAAGCCTCACAATGCCTAGCGCCATGGTCGGCCCCGTGGTCTTGGCTGCGCCAAGTGACAAGCGCGCATGTGCCTCTGTCGCCCCACCGATGCCTCTCGCCAGCGCCCAAGGGCTGGCCAATGACAACAGCGCCGCGCGCCCTGACAATG